ACCATAAGCTGTTGTTGGTTGGTTGCTGTTTAGTGTGTGGGGACATAACTGTGAATCTCCTAGTTTTTTATTGTTTTGCTTAGTGGCTGTTGTAACTATTACTCGGTTCAATGACTTTGTGCTGGATTATCTTTGTTTTTTCAACATTACACCATACAATTAGGGATGCAAGTGCTGAGGCAGATATCAAGTTTAACTGTAAAATATATATATTTTTAATTTCATTAAGAAAATAAAATACTTAACCAGAATATTAGAAATTGTTCCTGATAAATAATTGCCTTTTAACTACCAGTATTTACAGGTGTCAAAATATGAACTTTGAAAAATAATGTCTGAATCTAAGGAAATGGAAAAATGGGCCAGAATATTTCTAATGAATTTTTATAGTGTTTTTGACCCTCATATTTGGGATCCACCACAAAAGAAACTGGTCATGAATATTCCTCTATATTGAGGTAATGTTATTGGCATTGTGCCGCTGCTACGCAGGATTAGGAGGTGTGATCTGAGCCCAGCCAGCAGGGGGCAGGCATGAGCTCACACAGCTATTGTTCCTGATAGCCATTCCCAGCCACCATGTCTCCTGCATTGCTTCTCTCTCAGAGTAAAGGAAGGAGAGTCGAACCCACCCCACCTAACTGGGCTCTGAAATTCATTCAGCAGCATCACCCTTACTACTGTGGACCAGGGCCGGTGCAACCTGTTAGGTGACATAGGCGGTCGCCTAGGGCGCTAGCATTTGGGGGGCGGCATTTTCTTCGGCGGCGACTGCAGCGGCTGGATCTTCGGCCGTCCCGGTCATCGTCGGCATTTAGGCGGAGGGAGCTGGGGCAGGGGGGGCGCGGGGAGGGCCGCCTGCAGCAAGTAAGGGGGTGGGGGGTGGCACGCAGGGTAACTCCCAGCCCCGGCTCACCTCTGCTCCGCCTCCTTCCCTGAGCACGCCGCCCCGCTCTGCTTCTCTCCCTCCCAGGTTTGCAGCGCCAAACAGCTGATTGGCGCCGCAAGCCTGGGAGGCGGGAGAAGTGGAGCAGTGATGGCGTGCTCGGGGAAGAGGCGGAGCAGAGGTGAGCTGAGGTGGGGAGC